AGCTAATAATACCTAGGTATTATTAGCTCTTATTATTAGCTATTATTACTACGAGAACCCCAGAGCTCACGTAAATGCCAGGGGGCTGTTGTCAGAAACATCGCAATGTTAAGACTAATTTTGTTTCTGACAACGGCCGCCAGATCCTGATCCTTTAATTGGCTGCAGGAGGGCCAGCTACCTTACCGTGAGACTGTGAATGAATTACCAAAGAAATATTTACAGTTAATAAATGTTTCTGACGTGACTCTTATTTAGTCAACCCTTGCCCGATGTCCAATGACTGACCTGATGGCCGACATTTTCAGCATCCTGTAGCTGGTTAATAAGCCAGGCCAATTCTCCATTAGGATCAGTCATGTTTATCATCAGCCACCTGCGGACAAAACCAAATATCATACGCATATTATAATATCTCGAGGCTCAAACCTGCGAGGTACGCAACCATTTTTGCCGCCATACGATTGTTTCACAGCCTACGGGACGTTTTAATATTCCTCGTGATTGAAGTATTTATTGATGTAAACTCAGCAGTCGTGATTCACACGAATAAGTGCGCATGGCACACGCGAGAGACAATGACGAGTTTTCAATGGCAATTGTTGAAATCGTAAGTATACGTTAATTTAAGCACGGTCGTAGATTTTTCGTCGACATAACGTAGTATATGTTCAATGTTATAGAATGCTATATACGTCGTAACGAATATGATATCCCTAGAGTTTAGTCTACACATAAGGAGGTAAAAAGAAAAGGGGTTCCGCAGCGCGACTAGGTGCTCAGCACCCTGGCCAGGGCCGGATTCCGAAGCTGCGAAGCGAGATTATGGCGCTCGATTATGATTCCTTAATTAGGCACGTAGCTAAAATGTGGAAAAGTAGATTGCGAGAAAATCCAGTGCACGACGAACAGAGCAGTGGGAGTGCGAGTGGCGCTAAGTGGTCGGATGCGAGGGGGCAGGCATGTGCTCCACGCTCGACCACGACACTGGCAGACTCTGTTTTCCCATTGGACTGCTAACACTCAGACCCCCACTGTAGCCCTATAAGACATCGTAGAACCATATATATAGATATATCGTTAAAATAGGACAAATATAGCCGTAGAAATATATATATGCATATTGACAACAGGGTAGAATACGAATAATCGGTATAAAATGACACGGATAATATTATATTCTACTCTGGCTGCAGGTACGCGCGGGACATTGTGTTAATCAGATTTGTACTTTATAACAGGCTTTCTATAGTCCTTACGGGTTATCAAGACCGGTTTTCTTCGGCCGGAGAGCCGACGTTGTTGGCTTAATATAGGGGCGCGGTGAAATGTAAGGAAACAGAAATCACGCGAGCGGGAAATGAATATATAAATGTAGGAATATAGAGCACAAGCGTTGATGGCACGCGGGTAGAGAAATTAGTTAGAGAGACGTGATGTTATAGAAGCGTCCAACAGCACATTGAATAATTAAAGTGTGTGTGTGTGTGTGTGTGTGTGTGTGTGTGTGTGTGTGTGTGTGTGTGTGTGTGTGTGTGTGTGTGTGTGTGTGTGTGTGTGTGTGTGTGTAATATGCGAAATAGCAAACTATTGCAACAGGTTTTGTAAGCTGACGGGTAATGCGTCCCAATGCTAATGTAATGTATTACTTTTCTGTGGTAAGCAACACCGGGTAGTACAATGCAATACTACCTTGCAGAAATCGTCATTAGCCAAACCTTCATGCGAGCGGATATCGACAGGAGACAATATATCTCTCCGTCATACCTTTTCATGCTTAGAGATGTGCTCCAGCGCATTTTGCAATGTCCACATCGGTAGGTCACAGTTTCTATAGTCGCCCCATTTTCCCGCACCCTCAGATCCGGGTTTCGACGTAACAACTCGGGAATGTTTTCCACCGGTTCCCATGAATAGGGCTGCTGGGGACAATGAAGCCATTTAACTCTATAATGCTTCATTCCATTGATACTTTTACAGGCTACTAGCTTATCAACAGCAACGTAATCAGCCTGTGATGAAGGACGCGTCTGCGTGCTTACCGCCGGTGTAGAGGCATTATCCTGCGGTGGAGACGCTAGATCCGTGTTATGCGAGAGACTGGAGGGAGCATGTGGGACAGGTAGCTGTACATGCATAGGGTCCTCCTTAGGATCGCGAAACGGTCGCAGCCGGTTCGCATGAATTATTGAGCTTTGCTGTTTATCCGTCTCGCATTCTCTCAGTCGGTACGTGTAATTGGGTCCCCATTGCGAGATATAGAAGGGACCCCTCCATTTTCTCTGAAGTTTGGCCGACTTACCGACGGGTACTCTGGGATCATATAGCAAGACCTTGTGTCCAACCTCGAATGGCGGGACACGTGATTTTCGGTCGTAATAGGCTTTGCTCTGAGCCTTAGCTAGCTCGACGTTCTTAGTCGCTATTGTTTTCGCTATTTTCAACCGTTCTATGAGGTTATCTATGTGAGTCTTCACATCCTTCGCGAGTGATTCTCGGGGCAAAAGCTGCGTGTCAAGCGGTAATGACATCTCTTTACCGAAGAGCAGATAGAAGGGGCTGTAACCCGTGGAGTTCACAGAGGGCGACATACGAAACGCCATCATCACACAAGGAAGTATCTGCGGCCAGTTTGACTGTTCGTCATTCACATAACACCGTAGTGTCTGTGCAATAACGCTGTTAACTCTCTCGACAGGCGAATTACTCTGTGGATGGTATGATGACGTATAGTAATGATGTGTAGCTGAATTAGCATGACAAGCATATACATCGGGACCCACCTTAAGGAAATGAGTCGGGGTGCTAGGTAGACGCACCTGTTAATGCAAGGGCCTGGGATATACGCCTTCGGACTCGCTTAGGTAGTCCACGAACAGAATCGTGGGACAGATAGCGAGAGTAGTGAGGTATGGGCACAGGTAGATTTACGCCCGTTGGCAGAACTACGAGATTCACCGAGAGGGGTAATCCTTCTGTTTAGGTGTCACGGTATAAGTATGACTCGGAGGACAGCACAGATGGGAAGGCTATTTCTAAATGATGGCATTTAGACGAGGCAATGTGAGCCGATCGAAAAGGGTAGCAGATAATGAGCGAAATGCACTAGTGAGCCATTGTTGTTTAACTGTTGGGGGCATCTGTGTGGTCATCGTATCAGGTAGATAAGTTGCCACCCACATTACAGTGTAAGATTCACTGGGAATGTACCCCTAGAGCCC